GGAGACAAAACAATTCCTGCTCCAGCTGGGACCAAGGACAAATGATCCAAATCTCAGCCCAGGAGCACAAACACCGTGGGCTGAGAGAGAAAAACAAGCAGGGTGGGACTGCCTGGGCTAAAGCTGGAATGGGACAACCCCAAATGGAGCAGAACTGATCAAAGTGAGAGACCCTGTGAGCAGTTGTGTATTTTGTGACCATTTTGGTTCATCTTGGGTGCAGCCCTGGTTGGGCTCTTGTGCTGCCCAAGGTGCATCATTGATGCCTTTTAATAAATCCCTGCTTTATTCTATAACTCTGTCCAGCCTCTGTTCTAGGTCAGCCTCCACAAGGTATCAGCCCAACCTCCCAACTTTCATTTGCACACACAGCACTTAAAATCCCATTTTCATCTCCTTCTCTCTCAGCAGGGCCCAGGAGTGAGGCAGAAACAAAGCCTGGGAAAAATCCTGAACTGGGCACCAAAATTCTTGCTTGAAAGACTTCCTTAATATCCATTAAAAGGAGGAAAAGAGGAACTGTTTCACACTTCAGTGTGACAGAACAAGCAGTCAGGGGGTGTGTGTGGTTCTGTCTGAAGTTCTGCTTTTCCTTGCCTTTCCCCACCCTCTTTTCTCAACACCAAATTATGAATATTCTTTTAAATTACAGCATCTGGATTTATTTTACCTTTGCACTGCTCCTCTTAGCTTATGCCTGAGGAATGGAGGGGAAAGGTAAAACAAACCAAGCTAATCAGGGCAAATTTATTTGATTTAACATGAGTTATTAATGAAGGAAATGTCCCCCTCCTTCCCCTTCTTGGCTGAGCCACTTACTGGAAACTGAAAGGTAGAGTGTTTGGTTGAAGCTCTTTGTAAGCTGTAAATCCTCTGTACAAAGGATTTCTCAACTCCTGCTTCCTCTGCAAGAGGAAAGGCCACAGGGAATGGGTCTTCTCAAAGATCCTGGCAAGTACAAAGAACATCTGATCACTAAAAAAAAGCAGCAAGTGGATTAATAACTGCAGCTGTTGGGAGCAGAATTAGATTAAGGGAGCTAAGAACTGTTTTTATGCTGGATCTGATTGATTTCACAAGCACAGGATATTCAAATGGCCACTCAGGGATATCTGCAAGTCTTTGTTGTGCTCCAAACCAAAACCTATTTTTGGGATACGATTAATATTCTTTACTCCTGTTGTTTCAGGGTAACACTGCCTTGATCAATGGTTGTGATGCCCAATCTCCAATCCATAAAACACATCCTTCTGCAGCCATTGCAGGGGATGTGTGGGCCCCAGTGCAGAGGGGGGCATATGTGGCCCGAAGTTTAGAGTCCGGCTGCTGAGGGCGAAAGGCCGACGCCCCTCTGCAATTCCTGGCCAGCACCCTTCGGCGTCTGAGGGCCTCGG